CTATTATCTGTAGACCTTTGTTGATAACTTCTCTTACTATCAAATACAGCAGTGGCATCAAAACTTGCCCAGTGGATATCAGTGCTTGGATCCTAGGGATAATATTTGCACATTAAAAAAATGCACTTAAAAAATGCTGTATCACTATGTTATTGAATAATATTGTTTAGAAAACAAGGGCATTACAGTATTATTTATGGTTGAGCTATAAATATGAAGAAGTTTGAGAACTATGTAAATAATTTATTTCACAAATTATAAGCTTGCAAAATTAGACCTGGTAAAATAATGGCCACAAAAGAAAATTCACAGTCTTGGGAGCTATATTTGGTTTAAAAAAATTGATAAACATAAACTTTTTCTTTTTGCTGTAAAATGCATATAAAAATTGAATCCAATAAATATAATTTCAGTAAGATAAAAATGGAACAAACTAGCAACAGCTTGACTGTACCTTCTGAAAAATTTAAGTAAGAGAGTAAATGGGTTTAATAGTTTCCCCAGAAATAAAAACTCAAATTCATCAATAGTAGTAAAAATGTTTTTTCTGAAAAGATTTATATTCAATTACAGATAGTGTTACATAAGTTTGTGTGCCCGAGGCACCATGAGGTGCCTCTGACATCGAAATGTCAGAGTTTGGAGCAGAGAAAGGTTTACCGCAGGGCCAAGCAAGGAGAACGGGTGGCTTGTGCTCAAAAAAACCTTAACTCGCTGATGGTTTAGGGGGAAAAGTTTTTATAGGCAAGATTTGGGATGAGAGGATTGGTTGGTGGTGAGGTAACAGGGTGGTGTTCCAGGAATCTTGTGCTCAGCCAGAAGTAGCTGCACCTGGGTGGGCGCCTCAGTTCCTACAGAAGAACTCAAAGATATTGTTATGTGTATCCCTTGAGGAGGAACCAGGACCCTGCCCTAAGGCTGCATTATTGTTTCATGACTATTCCTCCCTTGTCTCTGCACTCCCTTCCTTCTCTGAGGGAACTGTTTGAATCTGCCCTCTGGAATTCAGGGAAGGTCAAAGGGGACATGGAAAGGATTTATACAAGGGAGGAACCCACAAGGTCCTGCTGGTTCAATAATAATGGGTAAGATTCAAGTTCAAGTCTGGGACTTACATCTAGAAGTTTTTCCATCAGTGCCACTACTACTTTTAAGAAAAGGTATCAAGTGGATCACACAGTGCTAACTTCAGACAAATGACGTAATATGTTTCATTATTTAATAAAGTAAAATTATGTTAAATATTTTATAAAATTTAGTACATATAAAGCACTTCTGGAATTAATGAGATAAGACCCAGGGTAATATCATTAGCCATTTTTTTTTGAAAAATTGTAACATTCCACAGAAGCAGACGGAGGAAGAAATGCATTGATTAGATTCTACTCCAAAATCTCAAACAGAACTGGGTATATATGATGTAATCTAAAATATGCTGCATTATTAAAAAGTTTTTAGGCAAGGATCTGAAAAGTGGTAGCTCTAGGAATACCTTCTTCCCCTGTGTGGATCCCAATTTCTCCCTTATTTTTCAGATTATTTTATGTTGCTGGCTTGTTTAATATCTTCTAGAAATTCCTCAATTTGGAGCCCACTGATGGCAACTTTCAAATATGCATAATTCCTCTCTTCAATAGAATTTAGGGAAGGAGCATGGATTCGATCCATTAACTTGAACGATAAACATCAGGCAAATAATAGTTTGATTAAATGGTGATTATAGGAAAATAAAGATCTACTATAAATATTTAAAGGACGCAAATTTTACGTAAGAAAGAAATTCATCATTGAAGTATGACTAACAGCAGAGGAATGAAATCAACTCCAAGCTATTGGGAAATGTACAGCAGCTGACTCTAGCAAATACTGGTACATAATTAGGAGGAAATTTTAATCCTTTAAGAAATTTGGGGCTAAAACGAGTGCCATCAAGAAACCATTTCATTCTGTGCCTCACACAAACCAGGCACTTATTAATTATTTATTAACAGACTGGAAAACATTGTGAGAAATGCCCTGGGATCTAATCCAAGCTCAATTATCAAATTCGATTTATAAAACTAGAAGCTATTGAAAAGCTAGAGCTCATGGAATCCAAACACCTTTTCAATAGGCCCATTCCAACCAACTTGCAACTTGAGCTACCTCTTATTATAAGAGTCCTTCAAAATCTCCTAAAAACGTGTTTTTTAAAAAAATTTTCAGTATCTCACTTGACTTAAATGACATCTGTTAACGATTTTCTATTATGGGTTAACCAGCGGTTAACCTTGATGTTGGAAAGGTAGTAATTTAAGTTAGGTGAGTAGCAAATGCTGATTAATTTTTCTGGGACCGTCAAAGGAGAGCGTTTTTCGCTTTTTCTTCTTGGTAGAGATTTTTTTCAGAAAATAAAGGGCTACAACTTTTGCAGAAAGGGTCTCTATAGCTTCCGGAAAAGTTCCTTCAAACTTCAATTTACACACAAATAACCTCTCCTTAAGTGCAATTTTATTTTTTATATATATTTTTATTAAAGTAAGGTCAATTACAATGTGTCAATTTCTGGTGTACAGCACAATGTCCCAATCGCATTTATGCGCTTTTAATAGGCAGCTCTGAGACGGGCCCGAGGGACCAATTCTGACAGCTTCCAGATGATGCTGCTGGTCCGAACACCAAGCCTTGCGTAGCGAAGGTACACATTCTCACCCATCTTAGGTCACCTAATTCTCGTTAACGCTTAAGATTTTATCCAAGGGGGCTTCTTATTTTATAATGAAAGGTAGTTTCCAGAGAACGTCAGGCCTGCTCATTTTCCTCGCTTTCCAATGGGTGGGGGGGAAAATGCAATTCAGAGTCGCAGCTCCACCTTCCACCTTCGGTTGTCGCAAGACGGCTTTGGGGACTGAGGTACGCATCCTCGACCTGAGGCCAGGTCTCCTCGGCGCCGCCGTCCGCCGTGGCTCCGGGCCAATGGAAAAAGCCGACGCCGGGGACCCCGGGGGAAGCCCAGCCGAGCCGCCCCCCGCCGCCGACGTGGGGCCCTTTC